AATTGATGTATGTATGGATTGTGATAAGAGTTGTATGAGCCCCTAATAAAACTATTAAAAAATTAAATAAAAATAAATAAATTTCATTATCCAAAAAAACAGAATAGTTTCAAAGTCCCCAAATAAAGCTGGCAAGATCAAAAGGCAGCATCTGCCCAGGCACAGAGCTGGGCAGGCAGGCAGGGTGGGGACGGAGGACGAATGGGCACGGTGGACCAGGCAGGAAGCGGGAAGAGGCTCATCATGGTGTTTGGACTGCAGTCACTGCCATCCAACAACATGTGTCTGAAGTGTGGAAGGGAAAACCAAGGAGCTCTGTCGACTGTCACCCCATTCACAAGAGAAAGTTAAGATAAATAAATAATAGCTCAAAGCTGCAGGAAAGGCTTTTTCAGGGAAAAGAACACCCAACCCCCCAAAAAAGCCCAAATAAAAGAATATGAAAACAGAACCCCAAATTTCATATAAAAAATTCTAAAAGAACAACATTTTAAGCCATAAAGATAATCATAAACTGTAATGATGGAAAGTCAGTTTTTCACAAAGTTTTGCTTTCACAGCTCTGGAAAAGGTGACCTGCTAAGCCAGCCCAGGCCTTTGGGCTTTCTCTGTCTCTGTCTCTCTCTGTCTCTGTCTCTGTCTTTCTCTTTCTCTCTCTCTCTGGCTGGCTGCTGGAGACAACGCTGGAAAATGGGGAGGGGCGGGTTACCTGAGGAGCTAAAGTGGAAATACGCTTCTTCGCAGCAAAAGCATAGTCAGATGCAAACAATTTTACAGTGACAGTCCCAAACTAAGTAGTATAACAAGTAATTCTATTCCTATAGGAAAGAATGCACACTGGAGTCAAGCAGTGGGCCTCAGCAGGATGAGCAACGCAGAGCTAGATAAAAAAAAAATCACTTCAAGTGTACATCTAAGCCAGTTAGAATAGAGGAGGCTGGGGAACCCCAGGTGAGTGAGACTACGGGCTTGGAGTCAACTCAAAACTTTAGACATATCTGGAAGCAAACAAGTTCCCAGTGTGTTTTCCAGACATATGCAGAGGGTGCTCTGGGAGTTTCAGTGTGCTTATTAAAGTGCTTGCTCTCGGTGCGAGGCAGTGTTCCTGAGCTCCTGAGGTCGCACTTACCAACCTCCTTCCATACAGCCCGTACAACTTCTCTGTGCCTCTAAAGCTTATGATAGTAAACATTTGAGGTACATACAACGACCTCTTTAGAGTATTGAAGAGCAAGGCTGATACTTTGAGGACTAAGGTGTCCCGGACCTAAGCCATGGTGTTTGCAATGGCCTCATATGCACATGAAAGCTGGACATTGAATCAGGAAGACCAAAGAAGAATCAGTGCATTTGAATAATGGTACTGGAGAACAATATTGAAAGACTTAGGGACTGCTCAAAGGACAAACAGCCAGAGTGTTCCTTAGAGGCAAGGATGGCATGCTTTGGGCATGTCGTCAGGCCAGACCAGTCAGTGGAGAAGGACACCATGCTTGGGAGAGTGGAGGGGCAGCAACAAAGAGGAAAGGCCTCAATGGGGTGGACTGGCACAGTGGCTGCATCAATGGGCTCAGGCATAGGGGCAATTGTGAGGATGGCGCCAGACTATGAAGTATTTCGTTCTGTTGTGCATAGGGTCGCTGTGGGTTGGAACTGACTTGCTGGCACCTAACAACAACAACAACAACGATTCATTATAACTGTCAGATTGCCCAGTAAGCGAGGTAAGCATGGGGTTACTTGTGCTTACTTACTAGTCTATAGTGAATACTTTCACATTTTTTTCATCACATCAAAGATTCTGCTTCTAGGGATGGCTGGCATTTACCTTTCTCCCAACCTCAGAATCAAAGCCCCCTTTCAAACTTACAATCGCTGAGAGGACCCCGTGCCCACTGAGCAAAGGTAAGCAGCACACGAACAGCCTGTGAAACTGATCACTGCGGAGTAGTACGGAACCACAAGTAAGCCTGTGCTTTTCTTGGTCATTAGTTCACCCACTCCTGATAACAAATGGGCACTACTTTGTGGCATGCATGCCATTTTAACGTTTTCCTACCTTTTCCCCGACTCCACTCCCTTTTAGAATTGCTTCAACAGCTACAAAAAGTTCACGGAAAGTGGAACTGAAAGATAATGGAACTTTTCCCACAAACTTTT